GTCTTCATCCTTCACTGGGTCTCCGAGAAACATGTATCAAAATTACTTAGATGCAATGTCAATTGTTCAGTATTTTGGCAAGCCATCGCTTTTTGTTACAATGACTTGCAATCAGAATTGGGCGGAAATTGTATATAATATTGATCCTAATGAATCATCTCATTTCAGGCCTGAAATAGTTGTGCGTGTATTTAAATCGAAGTTAAAAGAACTCATTTCTGACATTTGGAATAAATATATTTTTGGCAAAGTTGAGGCTCTTATATATACAATCGAATTTCAAAAAAGAGGTTTGCCTCATGCTCACATTTTGATAACTTTATGTGAAAATGACAAAATTGTCGGGCCGGCTGATATTGATAAAATAGTTTGTGCAGAGATACCGGATAAAAATTTGCAGCCAAAATTACATGAATTTGTTGTCAAACACATGATGCACGGTCCTTGCGGTGTTTTGAATCCAAGCTCTGTATGTATGCAAGATGGAAAATATTCAAAACAATTTCCAAAGGATTTTGTGCAATTAACGAAAGAATCAGTTAATGGTTATCCGTTGTATAGACGGCGCGATAATAATGTTTCCGTTGATGTTAGAGGAAAGTCTCTAGATAATCGTTATGTCGTTCCATACAACCCGTATTTGTTTGCAAAATATAATTGTCACATTAATGTCGAGGTGTGCACTTCCGTCAAAAGTATTAAGTACATATATAAATATGTATATAAGGGTTTTGATAGTGCAACTGTTTTAATTCAAAGTGAAAGCACAAACGAAAATGACTAACAAGTACAAGTTGAAGTAGATGACGTTAGAAATTTTTTGAATGGTCGATATGTGGGATCAACTGAGGCTATGTGGCGAATATATGAATTTCCTATGCATTTTCAGTCTCATATTATAATTCGTCTTCACATTCATTTGACACAAAGACAAAATATTATATTTCGCGAAGACCAAGAAAGACAAGCAGTAGAAAATCCTAAGCTTACGAAGCTATTAGCTTTCTTTCAATTGAATCAAAGTGATTCATCTGCTAATCAATATACGTATATAGAAATTTCATTGCATTATGTTTGGATTGATAGTAGAAAATCTTGGCAAAAAAGACAACGAGGAGGAGATAAAATTATTACTCGGATGTATATGGTGTCTCCCAAAGAAATTGAGCAATTCCATTTAAGATTACTTTTGTTGCATGTAAAAGGGCCAAAATCATATGAAGATGTGCGTACATTCAATGGAATTGTTTATAGGACATTTATCGAATCATGCTAGGGGAATTGCGTCCAATTATAACGAGTGGAGAGTTTCTCTCAATGAAGCTAAGACATTTAACTCAGGAAAACAAATGCGTAATTTGTTTGCGATTAATTGTGCCTTCAATATTCCAGCAAATGCATTAGCGCTTTGGGTGGAATTTAGAGATCATTTAAGCGAAGATTTCGTTAGAGATGGTTGTAGTGTAGATGTTTATTTTAATAGAGTATTATTGGAAATCGAGGATATTTTGTTAACACATAATGTTACATGTACGTCACTTGGTTTGCCTACACCTACAATAATGCCAGAATTTGCTGATCTCGATATTTTTGATCCTTTCGTAGAAGAATGTTTATTTAATGAGCTTTATGATTGCGCAAATAATGAACAGCGTGATACTATTGATAAAGTTATTCGTGAAGTTCAGTATTACGATACAGGATCAAATGTGTTTTGTTTGACATCCCATGCAGGTTGTGGGAAAACATTCACACAAACGGCTATAATTCGTAAATTAAATTCCCTTAATCTTCGCTGTATTTCGTGTGCATTTAGTGGTATTGCTGCGAGTCAAAGCAATGCATAATAACACAATAGATTGTGAAGTACTCACTGGAGTTGCTCGCGGAAAACGTGTTTTGATTCCACGCATACACTTGACGTATTCAGGGACTGCACTGCCATTTAATTTTCAAAGAACACAGTTTCCACAGTCATCAGCGCATTTGCTATGACAATTAACAAATCCCAAGGACAGACATTTGATAGAGTTGGAATATTGTTGAGGAGACCTGTTTTTTCGCATGGTCAACTTTACGTTGCAGCCAGTTGAGTTAGATCATTTGACGGACTTAAATTTTATGTCAGTAATGAAGGTGGACAAGGTCATTTGGCTAATGATGAAAGGGTTTTTACAAAAAATATTGTTTACACTGAAGTTTTGAGAACTTCGTGATATAAAATATAGAATTATTATTATGCATTATTATCATTTTAGATTTCATTCAGTTTGAATGTTTTTCAATATTTAATTTTTTTCATTCGTTCATTTGCCAATTTCATTTCTTTGTTTCTTGCCTTCACTGCATACCGCGATTTGATTTCGTGATGGCAGAGTATAGGAATTTGTTTGATAATTAACACGGGAGCGAGATGTTGTGCAAAGTCGCATTGTCGAAATTATGCAATAAATTGACGCAATAAATTGCGTCAGAATTTCGAATTTCTTTAGAAGAAGGTGCTGTTCTACAAAATTGCTGATTCCTATACTGATAACTTTCCGATATCACCTGAAGAACAAATGTACGGAGCAGATGTTAAGATAATTTATTTGTTGAAAAGATTTCAAAATGGAGCATCAGTTCGAAACTTTATCGGTATTTCATTCAAACAATTCATCATATTTCATATTTTATACTAATTATTTTCTTTTTTCGCAGGTGCATATGTGGTCACATATGACGAAAAATTTAAATTAAACGATTTGATTGGATTGATAATACAAGGAAGAATTAAGCCAAAACCAGAAACACAACAAATAATTTTGCACGAGATGAAATTATAAATTTTAATTTATTTTTTAAATTGTTTTCTACAACTTTCTTTAGATTTTGTTCATATTTTAATCAAATTCATCAATAAAATTTAAATACTATTAAAATAAATAAATTGTATTTTCTATTGGTCGAATTTCGACCACTGGCGACCCTAGTATTAATTAAGACACAATACTTTAGTTTTTGCGACTTCTTTATTAAATGTGAATCTTGACTAAACTATCTCTAATATTTTTCCCCTTATATATAGGAAGGATTCGAATTATTGAATCCTGATAAGACGCTTCGTTGCTTGGTTAGGCCAAATATAAAATATTTAGGATGATAATAAAACCTTTCGTTGTTTGGTTAAGCCAGACAACGATAATAATATATTTAGAACGATAATAAAATATTTAGAACATTGGTGAAAATCTTTAGTTGTTTGGTTAAGCCAGACAACGATAATATACATAAATGCTTAGAATAATATAAAGTTTAGATAATTAATCTTAATCTTGCTGGAATTGCAAGAAAATGCAATTTCAGCTTTAGTTATTTTAGGCGCTGTAATCAAAAAATGCTTTTAGCGGAAATTAGGTGTCAGGTTTCGTCTGTGACGTAACTCGCATAAAGGGATGAGAGCGACAACATCGCGCGTTGACAACGGGAGATGCTGTCTAAGGGGCCCTTAAGTTATCTTAGAAATAGTTTTCTGAGAATATCAATTAGTTTAGAAATAAGTTTTATTATAAATTATTTTAGAAAAAATTGTGTGTTTGTGTTCAACAAAACTAAGAGCAATAAAAAACGGTTGCATACAACTTGAGTCAACTATTTAAGTACTTATCGAGATCCAGCGATCGCGACCAACCAATTAAAATATATATTTATAGTATTGTAACTAAGTGTATTTTACACAATGTAAATTATATTACACAAAATATTTAGTTCATAAGCTTTTGTTAGTTTAAAATTAATTTATTCTTGAAAACAACTCAAATCCGTTCATTTCATTTTTACATTTGTGTAGATATACAAACGAAAATAGAAAATAATAGGGTTATTCACGAGTTCGAGTACCGCGCTCGGTAACCTAGTGATGTATTAAAAGAGCAACGCAGCAACAACAAAATACATATCTAGTGATGTGTTGCAATGTTACTATATTTTCCATATTTCAATGTTTCCATATTTCTTATACATAAGAAAAAATTTTACTCCGAAAATGTATTTATACTAAGTATTTCGTATGGGCAGCATTTAAAATTTGTTTTGTTTTTGTTTTTGATTAATATTAAATATTGTGTTAAGTGAAGAGCAGGACATTTGGGAAAAGTAAGTTGATAAATTATATACAATTTTTAAATTAAAAGGATTTAATTCAGTGAGTAATGTACAAACAAAAACACGGAAAAGAAAAAATCAAGTACGAAAATGGACAAATGAGGAAAATTTAAAAATATTGGAATATATTTATGCAAACGGACATTTTGAGGTTGTATTTATTTTTTTTTTTTTATATAAATTTATTTTATTTGATTAAATAAATTTTTATAAGAGTAACTAGCTAACAATATAATAAGCTAACAAACAATTTTAATCAACAATTATAAAGAATTTAATCAGAAATCACGCAAGTTCATTTATCACGCATTTCGGACAGGTTGCGACCAAAGATCACAAGGTTTTAGACGCTTAAAGCGACGTGTTGGCTCTATTGACGCCAGTTCGTTAGCTTCATCATTCGGATGAGAGTACAGTCGCTGAAGGTGCATTCTTGCATTTCGCTGTATTTCTTCCACCACCGTATTTATCCCTAGATCACGATGCAGATCAGAGTTCCTTACGTACCATGGTGCATTTGCCACACCCCTTAATATAACGTTTTGGAATTTTTGTATGGTTTCAACATGTGTGCTGCTAGCGCATCCCCAGAGCTGAATAGCATATGTCCAAATTGGTTTCAATATTTGTTTGTAAATTAAAAGCTTATTATGAAGTGACAGTTTCGACTTCTTTCCAATAAGCCATTTGATTGATCTGTATTTTATATTCAGTTCATCTCTCTTTTTTTTACATGTTCATTCCATCTCAGCTTTGCATCCAATGTCATACCGAGGTACTTAGCCGTATTAGAATGTGGAATTTGTATTCCATCAATGTAGAGAGGTATAAATCTGATATTTCGGTTTGTAAAGTTGACATGAACTGATTTATAGTGGTTAAGTTTTATTTTCCACTTTTCAGCCCAAGCGATAATGTCATTGACAGAAGACTGCAGACGCCTGGCTGCTGTTAGTTCATCATCTCCAATCGCTAGAACAGCTGTATCGTCAGCGAACGTCGCTGTAAACGTCGCTGAGCTCATTGGCAAATCATTTGTGTATATTAAATATAACAAAGGACCAAGTACACTGCCTTGGGGTACCCCAGCGTTGATTTTTTGGAGTTCACTGTAATCGTTTCCATGCTTAACACGGAAGTAACGATTAGTCAAATAAGAAGAAACCATATCGAAATACTCCAACGGAAAAATGTCTCTTATTTTTGTTAGTAGACCTGTATGCCAAACTTTGTCGAAAGCCTGGGATACGTCTAATTTTGAGGTTGGATGACAATTTGTTTTTATTATTTTTACAAAACTTGATTCGTTTTAATTATAGAAACCAACAGCCCAAATATATTATAAAAAACTATTAGAAGTGACAAAAATTGATACAACGTGGGACTTAGTAAGATTTAAGATGAGATATTTTAAGCAAAGTTTTGTTAAGGCAAACAATTGGCGCAAGTCTACTGGCGCCGGCTTGCTAGATGACGAAGAAGTCACATCTATAAAAGGTAATTAAAATCAATTTTGTGTTAGTATAAATGTTATATAAATGTTTCCTTTTTGTTTGTAGATAAGGTAAAATTGATGTGTCCATATTATGACCAATTGTCGGAAATATTTGGTGAGAAAGCTTGGAGCAACAAAATTGTTTTACAATCTTCTGCTATGGTATGCGACAAGGAGATGTCAGTGTAAGAACTGAATAGTACCAGCGAACGAGCAGGCGTTGAAATAGCGAACAGCGAAGAAGCAACACCATTTAGCACGATATTTGATGCAGATATACTGACAGAAAATACTGTGTAACAGATCACTACTAACAGAAGCGAGGTTAACACACAAAAAAAAAACTACACCAGGGAGGATTCGTTTCGAAAACAATTTAAGACGTAATAAACAAACATCCGCCATTCAGGAACTAAACGATATTGAACGCAAACGAGAGGAGTTCCAAAATCGGAAGCTTCAACTTGAAGTAGAAAAATTCGAGTTTCACAAAGAATTGGAACTAAAAAAATTGCGCATGAAGGAGGATAAGATAAACATGAGATTCAGGCTAAAAGAGGAGAAGTTAAAGCAAAAAGAGAAATTGGCGATATATGAACTGGATTTAAAATATGGCAAAGCGAACGATAGCTAATATTTCAATTTTATTTTGTCCTAACTAATTAATGATTCTCAATTTAGTTTTAAGTTTTAACAAATATTAAAATTTAATTTTATTATTTTTAATCTATTAATGATAAGTTCGATACACTTAGTGTATTAGGTTTAGTATATATAGTATATAAGTTGAGTACTTTTGAACTTTTTAATAACATTACCTCTATATATTTAAATTTTACTGTATAATTATTTTTTAACATTTTTTCATATTACTCTATCTTTTACTTGTATTTTTTCATTTTAAAAATTATATTTATGTTTTCACTATTTTAAGTTTCTTATAAATATGAATAAAACATTTGCAAATTAATTAAACATAAGATTGTAAATTGACTTTCTTTTACTTTCATATGCACTAGATTCGTTGTTATAGAGTAACATATCAGGAAGATCTTCCTCTGCAGAAATATGTATTTCTTCACGGCTTTGACTTTCAAATTCAGTAAGCAATATGTTGTGAAGAATACAGCACACAAGTATCCTTTCACAACAAAATTTATGACTTTTGTTATTTTTAATTAGAACTCTTAGTTCTTTCAAGTTACAAAAATTTTCCTTCAATAACCCAAAACAATGTTCCACCCGAACTCGATATTTACTATGGCGTTTATTGAACTGAATTCGTTCTTCACTGGTAAGTTGCTGTGAGTTTCTTCTATATGGTGGTATAATGATATCAGACAACGGATATGCGGAGTCACCAGCAATCCATGATTGATTAGAAAAAAATAGATCTTTTTCTTTTAAAAGTATTGAGTTCGAAAAAACTTTAGCATCGTGAGTCGAGCCCGCATAACCAACAACAACATCTCTTATTCTTAATTTGTAATCACAAACAGCTTGAAGTTTAATGGAATAAATGTGATTTCTTGAAAAATATTTTTCATGATTAATTTGTGGTGCATCTGCAATTTTTATTTCAGTGCCATCGATATAGCCAATGCAAAACGGTAATTCATTGTACGTGTCACTTATTATTTGTTCCTGCTCTGATGAGCTTGGCCATACGATGTACTTCGTCAATAGTGTTATAAAAACACTAAAATTTCTTTGTGTAATTTTCATCAAAGTTGCACCATCGCCAATTCCAAAAGTATCTGCTACTTTCCTAATTGACGCACTCTCTCCTGAAGAGCCCAAACGACACAGAACTATAGCTAAATGTAGTCCAATCGGAAACTGTTTGCTGCCGTTTGCTTTTTTAAATATTTCAGCTTCAGAAATCAAGGCAACTAAATAAGCAAATTGGTTTTTGTTTACACGCATCATTTGCAAAAACCGACCGTCATCTAACTTGGTTAAAATGTTATTGAGCCAGTCACTGCTTTTCGGTACGATGTGATTAAAACCACTGCGAGCCCCGTGTGGTGGCGGGATAAGAATACCACCTCAGTTTGTCTCTGCTTGTCGTAAAAGTCGACTAAAAGAGAAAATGCACAGGTTAAAGTAGAATTTCTACGATTCCTGGTAAGTCGTGAGGGCGCAAGGGTCAAAGTAGCTTGCTACGATTCCTGATAAGATGGCCCTTCTGCTAGCAGGTCGGCCCGGCATTTGCTCAGGCCCTGCTAAGTTGACCAGCCTTCGGGAAGTGCGACTATCTATCAGGTCAACTGTCAAGCGATAAGTACGGTCATGTCTCTGCTTATCGTTTGACGCAGATAGTCGGGCGGGGTGAAGGAAAACACCCTTTTAGTGAATGAGCAGTGAGAATGATTGTATGAATGTGTGAATAAATGGATTGTGTGTATTAGAAATAAAACCCCCCAAACTAAGGTGGAACAGCTACGCCTTTAGCTTGGCTGCTGGGGTAGAAGCAGTCTTAGTAGCGAACTCAGGATACCTGGCGACCTCCTGTTTTAAACAGCCTTACCTGTGCAATGCGAAACTCTCCGCAGGTGGACATATCTCTCTTCGCAACTCGTGGGAATCATAATTGACGAACAAATTTTAAATATACCAACTCAAGGCGAAGTGGTTGATGCTGATAAGGTGGACAATGAGGCCTCACAGACCGAGCTGATAGCCTTAGCTTCAGATACCACAACGCATGACGGTCATGAGACCAACAAAATGGTGGACGAAAAAGCCCCGCAAGAGGCCGAGCCGTTAACCAAAACAGTTGGAAACATGACAACGACTGATCTCGACTTGGCCGAGCGTATCCGTCTGAACAAGAGGGAGAAGCAGAAGTGAAGAAGAGAGAGGCAAAAGGCTGCAAAAGCCACAAGATCGGTTGAACAACTAGCCGATCGACTCAGCGGACTATCGCATGTGGAATCATCGCTGGAGGAAGAGCAGCTAGCAAAGAGGTATAAGGGCGGATGCCCAGAAGCTCCGACAGCAAGCTCAACTCCGTCAGCTAGAATCACAGGCGATAACTCTGATGGTAGACAACCAGTAAAGGATGTCAGCCAAGCTGAATCGACAGTCAAAGATCCAACCAGTGCACGAAGTGGAGTACCTTATCAGGCACTCAACCGACCCGCATTGGTTGGTAAAAGGACTGTTGGTCGGCGTGGTGGACAACCTTTAGCGGCTGATAACCGGAAGAGAACGCAAAACGGATCTGGGGTTAAAAAAGGCGGACAACCCATACAGGGTGTTAACCAACCAAAACAAGGCAGACAACTTATAACTGTTGTTAACCAAGTGGGGCCCCAGACCAGTACAGCGGACCATCTACCTAGCACAAGTAAGGCTGCAAATAAACAGAATTACGGTAGGCGGGCAGTAGGAGACGCAAAGGATGGCCCTGCCCATAAGAGGTCCTATGCCCAGTTCGCTGGGACGGATCTCAATATGGGCATCACCGATTCAAGAGTCGAAGGACCTCTTGGCGAGAAACACTTAGTTGCTTTTAAAGCATCGTTGTTGAACGCCGTGGAGTCCTTAGATGGCGGAATAGGTGACATAGGGTTTGTTGGCAACGCTCGCCTTGAGGATGGGTACATTACCATTAAGTGTAAGAACCAACAGTCAAAGGCATGGCTAATCAGCACGGTAACTAAGTTGGAAGGCCTTTGGCCTGAAGCTAAGCTGACGGCTGACACGCTAACGGCGTTGCGCAACGAAAGAAGATTACTTATTTTTGTGTACGACTCAACCGTAGGCAAGGAAAGTATTCTTAGCAGACTGCAGAAGCAAAACAGGTGTGTTAAGGACACTTCAAAGTGGAGAGTTACTAACTTCAACAAGTTTGGCGAAGAGAGAGCAGTGCTGGCGTCAGGCTCACAGTGTGGTGCCCGAAAGAAGACGCGGAGGTGATTAAGACCGCAGGGGGTAGGCTCAACTGTGGTCTTGATCAAGCCAAAGTGAAATTCTAAAGGGATGCACGACGAGCAAGACAACGCCTCTGGTATGGGGCTAGCGGGTCTGTGTAGACCGTTAGGGAGGCGGGTGGGCCCATACCAGAAAAACATAAAGGTTGAACAACTGAATATTCATCACAGTAAAGCAGCATCAGCAATGATCCTGCGACACTTTGACGAAGAAAAGTTGGACATACTACTGATTCAAGAACCCTGGATTGTTCAAAACGCTATTATGGGACTTGGTACATCAGTTGCCACGCTGTTCTTTCCACAGGCAGCTGGTAAAATAAGGACATGCATAATGGTGAGGAAGGGGATACAATGCATCCAATTGCCTCATCTATACTCACCAGATCTTACTACGGTAAGAGTAGGGAGTGATGCAAATACCTTTATCGTGGCGTCAGCCTATCTACCATACGACTCTACTGAACCACCTCCCAGTCAGGAGGTAATCAGACTGATGGAGTATTGTAGGACGAAAAGGCTAGAAATTGTCATAGGATGTGATGCGAACGCACACAACATTGTGTGGGGTAGCAGCGATAGTAACAACAGAGGGGAATCTCTCCTCGAGTTTGTTGAAAAATACAATCTGATGATTGTAAACAGGGGGTTAGAACCAAACTTCGTTGACGCACGTAGGTCAGAAGTTATTGACCTAACCCTGTGCTCAGGCGCAATGACACAGAAAATTGAGAAATGGAGGGTCGCTGATAGACTAACAATGTCGGATCATCGGACTATACACTTTGAAATACTCTGTCGTCCGAAACGCACTAATAGTCAGAGGCTAGTAAGAATTCCTGAGAATACTAATCAGGTAACTTACTTGACGTTGTTGACGGAATTATTACAAAACAGGCCGTTGAGGAAACTCAAGACCACATGGAATGTAGAGACAGAAGTCAAAGCAATTACTGCTGCGATGATTAATGCATTCGAAAACGCTTGTCCCCAAACTAGCATTGCAGAAAAGTCATCGACACCTTGGTATAGTCAGGATCTTGATGTAATAAAAAAGGAGACAAGGAAAGCCTTTAATAAATACATGAGGGAGAAGAACTCCGAATCATGGGACTTGTATAAGGCCAAAAAGCGTGAATTTAAGAAAGCACTACGCAACCGGAAACGGGAGTCGTGGAGGAATTTCTGTTCGAGCATGAAGGGGACCTCTGAAGTAAGTCGGTTACAAAAGATGGTCACCAAAGATCCGGTCTCAAGACTTGGTTTAATCCGAAAGAAGGATGGTACAATGACGGAGACAGTAGGTGAGTCATTGAGTACTCTCATGGAGATCCATTTTCAAGGAAGCTTCAAATTTGATGATCACTTGTCATCTCCCAAAAGGGGAATGAACAGAGAGGAAAGATTTGATGCAGAACGGATAGTGACCATAAATGCAGTTAGGAATGCCATTTTGACATTCGCTCCATTTAAGTCACCGGGGTTGGATGGCATATTTCCAGCACTCCTGCGATGGGGAATTGACCTGCTCGCAGTTAGGCTCACGGAGATATTCAGGACGTCACTGGCAACAAGGTACGTCCCTAAAGCTTGGAGAGAGTCAAGGGTGACTTTTCTACCAAAGCCAGGAAAAAAGGATTACACAGAAGCAAAGTCATTCAGGCCAGTTAGCCTTACCTCTTTCATGCTTAAAGCTATGGAAAAGGTAATAGTGGACTACCTAG